TATTAACAAGACAACACACTCCTTACACTATCAGATCATAAATTTTTTCACATTGTGTTGACATGTATACTTTTTAAAACACTTTTAACTTTGGTTTAAGCCTAGAATCGGCTAAACCATAGCTCTGATACCATTACATGTAACACCCCTAACCCGTACCCGACCCAGATATGAATTTGATGTGTCACATTGACTTTTCAAAATATTTACTTGTACACAATAGTGAATAATTTTAAAACTTTCACTAAATACAACTGAATAATTTACATAAAATACAATTATATGATTTTACAAAACTGATTAGAGCATATCGGATTCAAATCTTTACTTACATGCCAACCACAATCAGTATTACAAAATACATACTATTAAATTCTTTTCTGATTTGATCTTTGGAAAGGAGAAACTGACCTGTCTTGCTTAACTTTACTCCTTCTTCTTTGAACCAACTTGTGAAACAATCACACGCTAAGTCCTTGACTTAGTGAGACATATAAAGCATATAATAGAAACCATAAAACATTACATACAACAAAATGCATACATGCACATATGCCATCATTATCAACATCAACATCAACATCATTATCATGCCATCTTGTACTTAACATTTGTAACATATCATATAATACATTTCACCAAGTAATACCTATAGTATCACATATAAATCTTATAATATATTTCACATAACAAAGCATATACATCACATGCAGTGTATTTATATTATCTCTTTAATAACCCATATACTAGCCCATGTACACTTGTGGGAACTAAAGATATGTGAGTGCATTGAGGTTGTGCACAAATGTTGTCACCACAGCTCGTATAAATTGCACTGAGTGCCATGTAAAATATCTCGAAGGATCTCTTGTATATGTCCCAAATGACCACTCCTTAAGAATCACATATATATTCCAAATGACCAAATATGTGTCCCGAAGAACCGCATATATATTCCAAAGAATTACATATATATCCCGAAGGACCACATAGAACACTTTACTCTTGTATGTCCCGAAAGACCTCGTATATGTCCCGAAGGACGACATGTATGTCCCGAAGGACCTCGTATATGTCCCAAAGGACCACTTGTATGTCTCGAAGAACCACTTGTATATCCCGAATGACCACTCCTTAAGGATCACATATATATATTCCAAATGACCAAATATGTGTCCCGAAGAATCGCATATATGTTCCAAAAGATTACATATATATTCTGAAGGACCACATAGAACCAACGACTCTTGGCATGCCAACTATACCCCTAGCTCTCATATCATAGAACATGGGCATTATCATTTATTACTGTTCACATCACTTGTATCATTCTTGTATGATCTCATAGATCATAGTATAACATTCTTGTATGATCTCATAGATTCTTGTCATATAACCCATATCACATAGGTTTATATCATATAACATATATCACATGTGTATGTAATCATGTAGTTCATTTTCACATATCTTGTCACATATGAATGTATTCATACCAATCATGATCACATAGAATAACATGTGACACGTATTCTCATTTTAATGTACTCAAGCATACATAAGAATCATATCAATCATATGTTTGTACTTATGAAATTGATAAGATGCATATTAGCCATACATTTTATTATATTTTCCTCATATTTGAATAACTAAAATTGTTTAAATCATGGATTTTGATTATATTTCATATTTTGTGGATTAGGTTGAAGATTTGGATTAAACAAGGTCAAAATCCAATGAATAGAATGATCTTCACAAAATCCCCAAATTAAGGAGGAAAATCCAGAATTCAAGAAGTTGGCAAGACCATAAGAGTTTTTAGCATAAGGCGTGGGCACGACATATTCATTCTGAGCTATCGCAGAAGAGGCCTCCAGTTAAGGCGTGGGCACGCCTTACTAGTCCGTATAAAATATTTTAGGAGTCACTTCTTACCATAATAACTCCGTCACTGGCTCATCGCAAGCCAATGTTTGTTCTATAATATAAGTACAAATTAAACTTGCACTCACATTGACACTTTATATATCCAAAACATGTTCTTCACTATAAGCCACAACAACCCTTTTATACTTGACTTGTCTTAGTCACAAATCAATCACGATCTGTACAAATCACAATTTCATAACAATACATATATTAGTATTGTACTAACATAAACACATCTCCAAAACAAAATCCATAATATACTTGAAACTCATTTTCTATCAAAATACTTAACACTTAATAATTCCTTTTAATATTGGCACCAATTTTTCCAATTTACTCAAAATGGTCATTCACCATTTTATCACTTAAATTTTAAATACCAAAAATTTCAATACTGAAGTTATTACCAACCACTTACTTTTACAAAGGTACAATTGCATTTAAGCAACCCAACTATGTAAATTTTGCACTTAAATCACCAATCTTTTCAAACTTCTAAAATGGTCATATTTCACATCTAAACGTTCATTTCAATTCTAAAACAGTAATTTACAGCATAATACTTCAAATTTTAAACAATTATACAACCATTCATAACTTTTCCAAAATTATTGAATTGGTCCCCCAACTTTTCAAAAATTATAAAATGGTCCCTAAATTTTTCTAAGGCTTTTAGAATACTTCCTACATCATTTCCAGACCTTATATAATTTTCCCACAAAGTTCTCACTCCATGGCCGAATACTTTAACACTTAAAACCATGTTTTCTTGTTTTTACTCGATTTTGATTCGATTCAAGCATGAAATCAACTTTCAATCAACCTTATAACATCTCTACAATCAAATCCCTAATCAACTCTCATCAGAACACAAAGTTCTACAATTTCCTCTTTTGGTCGAATTTAAAGAATAATTTCTAGAAAGATTAAACATGTTTTGACCATAAATCAAGCTTGAAAATGAATCTACAACCTCTAAATCATCAAGATTTATCATCAATTTCATGAATCCTATCATGAACATAAACCCTTAGATTTGAGATCTTTGAATTCCAGCAATATTAGAAAGAAATATTGGTACCAAATGATAGCGTTTTTCACGTAGATCACTTTCCTATTTCACGACATAACTCGAATTCCAAAGGAACTGGCTCAAAAATTGAAAACAAAATGTTTTCTTACCTTTGGAAGAAACTCACGGAAATGAAGAAGATATGCACAACATTGGAATGAAATTTCAGATAGTTTTCATGCTTATCTACCTTTAAATTATCATTTAATGAATATTAAATTCATTAAATTGGGAAAATACTAATTTACCCTTAATAAAACTTCATAATTACCTTTAAACCTATACACCTCAACCTTATCATCTTCCAAAAAGAGACATCTCAGCCTTATCATCTTTCAATAGTCAAATATGAACAAAATATTTTTCCACTTTACCATTTTTCCTTGAAATTTCCAAAAATTACAATCCTGCCACTTTAATCCAAAGGTCCAAATTAAACATGAAATTAAACCATTAAATATTATTTTCCAACATTTTAAATTGTGAAAATAATATATTTATTTTCTTATTTTTGAAACCAATTATATTTTTTTTAAATTACCATTTTGGTCCCTAAACATTTCCAAAGTTTATACTTTGATCATTAAACTTTAAAATTTATAATTTGGTCACTCACTAAATCCATTTATGGAATAAAATTCTTTTTGGGAAAATTATCACTTAATTCCTTAAACCTTTTCCAATTTTTCTAAATTAAACACAAAGTTTCAAAATCTTACAATTTGGTCACTAACCTGATTTTTGGGATGTTACAAAAGCTCCCAGTACAAAGAGACTGAAATCATTGATCCCTAACTGGTTTTACGATAATCATTGAAATTATTTAATATAGGCAAATATTGAGTGTGCGTCAAATTACTGGATTTATCCGGTAACAATATCCCTCAGATCAGTTGGAGAATATATGCTCGGGATGCAAAAATAACTTGCTCCTCGGTAGAGTCATCCGTCACTTGAAATTTGGACTCCAACCATGTCATTTGTATCCAATAACTGTCCATGACCTCGGATGGTGGCAGCCTTCCCAAAACTTTATGGACCTTAGCGATGGGGTTGTCATCGTTCTGCCTAACGATGATGGCACAATTCAGAAGAAGATCGAGTTGGTAAATATCATCTTCCAAAGTAATCGTCGCTTCACCACTCGATAAATGGAAAGTGTGTGTCTCGATCCTCCAACGTTCAATCAAAATTGAAATCAATGTTGGGTACACCTTAAAGTCATGTACAAATATGGATTGATATAGACCGAATTGCTAAAGATATATCATCATTCGCTTATGCGGATATCTTGATGTCATACTGCGCTGAGGAATGCTCCGTTCTTCTTCTGGGTGGAGTTCGATCGACGAAATATGAACATTATCGAGATGTAACATTTCATCTCGGGAAGCCATTTTTCGAGATTTCTTTAAGAAGTATGATTTTTGCTCAAATTTGTTCAAAACAAAGTATGGTAAAAAACCTAAACCCCAAACCCTTATTTATAGTACCAATCCCAACAACTATAATTCAAAAATCCGGCGGAACTCGTCACCTCGATGTGATGAATTCCATAGGGACCGTTACCCAAGTGACCATTGTTGTTGCCCCTTGACCAACGACTATAAACAACTACTTTTTTTTTAATTCAAAGGTGTCGAGTTATGATATTTTTTTATTTTAAGTTTTATATTTAAATTATTTTTACAAATTTTTTAAAAATATTTTTTAAATGGACTCATCACCTCTATGTGACGAGTCGTATTAATTACAATAAATTAAATGGCCCATGTGAGGTCCACTCATCACAGTCCATTAAAATATTATATCTCATCGAACTTATCACCTCGATGTGATAAGTTCCAGCATCACTGTAGTATTTTTCGTATTCTCAAAAATTAAAAACTGGGTGCCTTAATGGGCTATATAAAAAACCCAAGTGCCCTATTGGGCTCAAAAAAGGGGTTCGTCTTGGGCTTTAAGTCTATGTATAAATGGAATGTTATATGAAAGCCCGAAAAACTTTCCATTATCCTCGACTCGAATGATCAAACACAGAGGGAAAGCAACGGTGAATGAAAGATAATCATGGCGGTGAAAGGATTTTCTTGCAATCCAAATGCAAGTATAACTGAAACCCATCATCTTCTTTTTCGCCAGAATTTACCAGTAGCATCCAGGCAGCTATTTCCCAATCCTTTTTTTGCTTCATATCCGATTCTAAACAGCAACCACAACAAAAAGAAGACACCGATTCTACGAATCCGAGCTGCAGCTGCAGCTGAAGAAAGCAATTCGACTGTTAATGTTTCTAGCACAAGCGATGTTAAAGGGTCAGGGACGACAGCCAGAGGGAGGAGACTTCTCAAGATACGTGAGGAGAAAAGGAAGCGAGAATTCGACAGGCTTCACAATTATCCGTCATGGGCCAAGTACTTAACTATCGACTATACTTCTTCTTTGTATGTGTACCATGCGTTCTACCTGTTCGACTTATTGCCTCTTTGAAAACAGAGTCCTAGAAGACGCCTGCAAAGACGATGAGGAGCTACGAGCGGTTCTTGGCGATAGCATTGGCGATCCTGAGCAAATGAGGAAACGAGTCCGTTAACACCCTTTTTTCTATTTCCTTACCTGAAATCAACTTTATAGCTCATAATCTGGTATTCCAACGAGTTTTTTTCATAATGCTTTGTAGATTGAAGAGCGTGTTCGTAAAAAGGGCAGAGATTTTAACAAGAAAAAGACTGGCTCTGTGCTTTCTTTTAAAGTCAGCTTCCGAGAGTACGGCTTCTATTCCCTCAATCAAAAACTAGTAATACAATTAGTCGTCCATGGTAGTAATTGGTTGCCATGTTTAGTATTGAGGGTAACACTGTTACCTTTACTGAACAAGAAGCGAACTTTTGCTGCATGACGAAACTAATTTATCAACCCCTTGGTTTTATAGTTGTATGAAGTAGCTGATGTTTCTCGAGCTTTCAACTTTTATAATCTTTGTTTATTTTGTCTGTCCAGTTTTAATCCACTTGATTCCTACATATGGTTCGAGTTATATGGATCGCCTTCTGATCGAGAAGTCAATCTCATTGGAAGTGTATGTAGTCTCACCTTCCTTCCGATTCCTTCTGTTAGCAATTTGGTGCTGATGTTGGAGAACCCTTTTCTTATTTGCTCTCGTTTTCTTGAAAAAGAGCAATCATTTCTAGTTTCATCTTCCATTTTCGAGTGAAATTGAAAGTACTGTGTAACTTGGGGGTGACGTCGGTCGTTTTCTGATTACAACGACTAGGGCTAAATCGCATTTTATTATTACTTGTCAGTGCAAACTTCCTGTTTTGCAGTAGAAATTATCCTACATTTATATTCATTCAATTCGATATATGTGCAGGTTATTCAGTCCTGGTATGTCATGGGAAGATTGGGAGCCTTTAATTCATCTAATTTGCAGGTTTGTTCATGGTTCTTTTTGCTCCATTTTCTTAGCCTTTATCAGTGGATCTTGCTGTGAAAGGAAAATAAGCTTATTAATTCATATTGATGACAGTTGGCAACTGCCTCAATGGAGTATGATCCCCTCTATGATGCAGATAAGGGTTTTAATGTGATGCCATCATCTTTTCACGATATTAGTGATGTCGAGTTTCAGGACAACTGGGGCCGTGTTTGGTATGATCTGCAGTTTTCATTTTGGTGCCACATTAGTCTGTTTTCTAATTACTCTCTCTGGAATATAAATGTTGACATTTATAGGGTAGATCTTGGTACTTCGGATTTTTTCCCCATTGATGTCCTTCTCAACTGCATGACAGTATTAAGTGCAGATTAAGTTTTAACTGATTCTAATATGTTAAAAAAAAAGAACAAAAATAGAAACAACTGTGTCATCGAATTTCATGGTGGATACATTTACATTGTTCCTTTTTTTGCCAGTTATTTGGGCATTCAACAGATAGTTTTTGGTGGTCGCCGGATGGGTGATTGGGAAGAAGGTATGACAAACCCCGACTATGGCTACAAATACTTCAAAATCTGAACCAAACGTCGATCCAGATGCAACTGCAATCTAGAAGGTTAGTTAGGTCGCAACTTGTGTATACAACTGATGGACTCTAGAGATGGCCCATCAATGGGGATCCTTACTGTTCCTTATCTGAATTTGAAAGTTCGGATTCCTACTTTTTGTTCCCTACTTTTTCAAACTTTTAAAGTGATTCCACATGAAACTCAGACTGCTGCTATCAGTGAACGATTGTAGATCGATAGAAAGCTATTACAATCGATAGAAAGGTATTGTTCAACTTCGACCGCAATGTTCTTCACCTAAACGGAAACCAAAGACCAAAGACCATTGTTACTGAACCAAGACTAGTGGTTAAACAAAACTGTAAAGCAGACTTTATTGTTATAAAAAAAAGCCTAAAATGCAGATGACTGCCAATTCTTAATCAACCTCGGTTGAAGTAAAGTTTTATATGCAAACCCTTCCCTTATTCTGAAACCGTTGTGACCATGACCTCGGGTTAACGTCAGTTATTTTGCGGCTGGCGAGATATAAAGAAGTCAAAATCATGGTTCTGGAATTGAAGTTGTCTCAACCAGGAAACAGCATCAGTTTGTTGGCATATAATGGTGTCCTTTTCTGATGTTTCGGGGTTAATCCATAATATTCAAAACATCTTGTAAGCAACCGCTGCAAAAGGAGGGAGCGAAACCTCTTCTTTCTTTGCTGCCTGCCCAAATGAAAAATGTCACAGCATACAAGATTGAGTTTACCATAACATTGGATTGTGATGGAATGGCTGTAAAAGTTATATATAATTTATACCAGTTGCTTTGATTATACCTTGAGGTAGAAATGGCAATGGATGGTAGGTGAGGAAACATGCCGACAGTTCTTTCACTTCCCTTGCCAGTGGGATTTGATAGACAGGATACCTAATAAAATATTAATGGACCATCTTCAGACTTGAAAAATACCTTATTTTTATATTAATATTTGTCTAAATATATGACGGACGTGGTTGCTTTCAGATAACATGTATAGAAAATGATGATATTAATGAAATAAGACATACCAAGCTATTGCCATCCAACTATAAGGTGAAACATCTGCGCTGCCGAGGTCAAATAAACAAGGATAATGCTTGCTCAACTCATTAATCTGTTCAAAACAAGCTCACATTAAGCCAACATATACGAAACTCTTAATTCTATCAAAAAATTCAATTTCTTTTTTGGAAAAGAACACGAAATCGTGAAAAAAAAATGCTAGGATAATTAAAAACACATTTTATATAGTGTCTAAATTGATAGCTGAACCACGAAATATGAACTAGAAAATGGTTATTGATTGATAAAGAAACTTTTAACTGACCTTTTCTAGAAGGGGAACTCGATCGTAAGGACTAGCCGTCTCATTGTATTGGTAGTACAAGTAGCCACATTGATCAATTGTTTGAGTAAACATAGTAGAATCATCGTCCCAAGTGATCTCCGAACTCAAACATGAATTGTAAAGTCAAGGGGGCACCGCCTAATGCACAAACAAATTCAACCAACAATTGTTGAAATTGTTGATGATTAAATGCATTTAATCAGTGGGCAATTTGGAAGAAGATCCATTCGGTGCAATTGTCAAAAATTGGGTGCATAAAATGTTGATTTTTGGAAATGGTTAAATCATACATTTAGCCATTGTATTTTAGGGTAATTACAAGATTAGTCCCTAAGTTTCAACTATAAATACCCTAGCCCATTTAGCTTTAAAATCATCCCAAAATCTTCCAGTTCTCTCTCAAGTTTGTTTTGTAAACACCTGTAATTTTTTCTCTTTAGTAAAAGATCTGCAGCAGTCTGGAGACGTAACCATAATTGACTGAACTCCGTTATCAATTTTTCGGGTATTATTTTTTCCGCTTTTATTTTGTATTTTCACTAATCTGGCTATAGGGAAATTACTTGTTACTCGTTTATTTCCCAACAACTGGTAATTAGAGCTTTTGGGTTGTGAATTTTGTCAATTTTTTGCGAGGTTACTATTCATTACTATTAACGTGAATAGTAAATTTCGTGAATAGTGAAATTTTGTCGGCGATACAAATTTTTCGACGGAGGTGTTATAATACACGGTGGTTCGCACAAATTGTCAGAAACGATCCGAAGAAGCCAGATTCGAGAGGGAACGATGGCTGTAGACGAAGGGAATGTGAAAATTGAAAAGTTTGATGGTGCGGACTTTGGCTTTTGGAAGATGCAGATCGAAGATTTTCTGTACCAGAAAAATCTATATCAACCCCTCTCAGGAAAGCAACCAGAGGGCATGAAGAATGAAGACTGGGCTCTTCTCGACCAACAAGCCCTCGGAGTTATCCGACTGACGTTATCCCGAAATGTTGCTTTCAACATAGCAAAGGAAAAGACCACGGCGGGTCTTATGGCGGCTCTCTCCAGTATGTATGAGAAGCCATCGGCCTCAAACAAAGTTCATTTGATGAGGCGATTATTCAATTTGCGAATGACGGAATGGGCATCAGTGGCTCAACACCTGAATGAACTCAACACAATCACAACCCAGTTGAGTTCTGTGGAAATTGAATTCGATGATGAAGTTCGAGATTTAATTCTCTTATCATCTCTACCAGACAGTTAGAATACTATTGTTACAGTAGTTAGCAGCTCGTCGGGAAATAGTAAATTGAAATTCGACGATATTCGAGATCTGGTACTGAGCGAAGAAATTTGACGGAGAGAATCGGGTGAAGCATCAACCTCCTCAGCCTTGAACACGGAGTCCAGAGGGAGAACTTCAGAAAGAAATTCAAATCGTGGCAGATCAAAATCCAGACGGGGAAAATCAAGAACGGGAAAGAAAGATTTTACCTGTTATAATTGTGGCAAGAAGGGTCACTTTAAAAGGGATTGCCGAGCATTGAAGAAAGATACCGGCGTACAGGAATCTGCAAACATGACAGAGGAGACAGGTGATGCCATGATTCTAAGCTTCAACAGTCTGATTGAATCCTGGATCTTGGATTCAGGGGCATCTTTCCACTCCACCCCATGCTGAGAAATCATGGAGAACTATGTCAGTGGTAATTTTGGGAAAGTTTATCTAGCCGATGATGAAACCTTAAAGATCGTCGGAAAAGGAGACATCCGATTAAAGTTGCCAAACCAGACCACCTGGACGCTGAAAGGAGTGAGACATATTCCTGGCCTCAAAAGAAATTTGATTTCTGTAGGACAGCTTTATGGTGAAGGATTTAGCACAACCTTTTCAGGCTGTGAATGAAATATTACTAAAGGAGCACTCGTCATTGCTCGTGGTAAGAAAACTGGTACTCTCTATATAACCTCAAATTTAGAGAATATCATTGCAGTAGCAGATGCTGATTGAAAATCAAACCTATGGCACCAAAGGCTTGGTCATATGAGCGAGAAAGGGATGAAGACACTTTTGTCAAAGGGGAAGTTGCTGGATCTAAAGAATGTAGATGTCGGACTATGCGAGGATTGCATCTTTGGAAAACAAAAGAAAGTCAGCTTTGCAAAGATTGGCAAGACTCCCAAGGCAGAAAGGTTAGAATTGGTTCATACTGATGTATGGGGACCATCCCCAGTTCCATCTCTTGCAGGCTCACTATATTATGTCACCTTCATCGATGATTCAACAAGGAAGGTGTGAGTTTATTTTCTGAAGAAGAAATCAGAAGTCTTTGATACCTTCAGAAAATGGAAGGCCATGGTGGAAAATGAGACTGGTCTGAAAGTCAAGCGGTTGAGGTCTGACAATGGAGGAGAGTACAAAAATAGGAGATTCAGAGATTTCTGTGCAAGCAATGGGATAAAGATGGAGACAACAGTTCCCATGACACCGTAGCATAATGGCGTAGCAGAGCGCATGAGCAGAACTCTGAATGAACGTGCCAGAAGCATGAGGATACATGCCAGATTACCCAAATTTCTATGGACTGAAGCTATCAACACTGCAGCTTACCTGATCAACCGTGGGCCCTCAGTTCCTTTGGATGGCAGAATATCAGAGGAAGTTTGGAGCAAGAAAGAAATAAACCTTTCACACTTAAGAGTGTTTGGTTGTATTTCTTATGTACACATAGACTCTGCTGAAAGAAGTAAACTTGATGCTAAGTCCAACAAATGTGCCTTTGTTGGTTATGGCGGTGATGAGTTCGGTTACCAGTTTTGGGACTATGAAAATCGAAAGATCATCAGAAACAGAGATGTCATTTTCAATGAGAATGTGATGTATAAAGACAGGTTAACTGTAGAATCAAGTAGCTCAAATACCAAAGCTGAAACAAAGAAATTTGCTGAGTTCGAGGAGATTTCTAGAAATGATGTTCAGATCAATCCTGAAGCAGTTCAAGAAGAACCAGGCACACCGGAATTAAGACGCTCCTCCAGAATTCCTAAACCAACCCAACGGTATTCTCCTTCTTTGCACTACTTGTTGCTAACTGACAATGGTGAACCAGAGTACTATGATAAAGCAATGCAAGTGGAGGATTCAGTCAAGTGGGAGTCTTCCATGAAAGATGAGATGGACTCGCTTATGTCAAATCAAACGTGAGAATTAGTTGAATTACCACCAGGCAAGAAAGCGCTTCACAACAAGTGGATTTACAGGATCAAAGAAGAGCACGATGGGAGCAAACGTTACAAAGCGAGATTGGTTGTCAGAGGTTTTCAGCAAAAAGAAGGTATTGACTACAATGAAATTTTCTCTCCAGTCGTGAAACTGCCTACTATCAGACTGGTGTTGAAAATTGTAGCTGCAGAGAATTTACATCTTGAGCAGTTAGATGTAAAGACAACTTTCCTTCATGGTGATTTGGAGGAAGAAATCTATATGAGGCAGCCAGAAGGCTTCATAGAGGCAGGCAAGAAAAACCTGGTATGCAGGTTGAAGAAGAGCTTGTATGGTTTAAAACAAGCTCCTAGACAATGGTACAAGAAGTTTGATAGCTTCATGAGTAGCAGTGGTTTTACCAGATGCCAAGAAGATCATTGTTGCTACATCAAAAGGTTCGACAACAGCTTCATTATTTTATTATTGTACGTTGATGACATGCTCGTTGCAGGCTCAGACATGCAAGAGATTATAAACTTGAAGCAAAAATTGTCGAAGCAGTTTGCTATGAAGGATCTGGGTGCTGCAAAGCAGATTCTTGGGATGAGGATCAAGAGAGACACAAAGTCGGGGACTTTGATGTTATCACAGGCTGAGTACATCAACAAAGTACTCTCCAGGTTAACATGCAAGATGCTAAACCAGTAACTACACCTTTAGGTGTTCATTTCAGACTCTCCAAAGAACAGTCACCAAAGACGGAGGAAGAACGAGCACACATGGTTAAGGTGCCGTATGCCTCAGCAATTGGAAGTCTTATGTATGCCATGGTTTGTACTAGACCAGATATTGCTCATGCAGTGGGAGCTGTTAGCAGGTACATGAATAATCCAGGCAAGGTACATTGGAAGCAGTCAAATGGATCCTCAGATATCTGCGGGGTACCACAAACAAAGCACTTTGTTTCAAAGGTGGAGATACGATACTAACAGGCTATGTAGATGCTAACTTAGCTGGAAATGTCGACATCAGAAGAAGCACTACAGGGTATGTCTATACTCTCGGAAGAATTGCAGTGAGTTGGGTTTCTAAACTACAGAAGATAGTTGCTCTCTCCACAACTAAAGCAGAATATGTCGCTATTACGGAAGCCAGCAAGGAGATGGTTTGGCTCCAAAGTTTCTTGGAAGAGTTAGGCAAGAAACATGAAAACAATGTCTTGTATTGCGACAGTCAAAGTGCTATCCATCTAGCAAAGAATCCGTCTTTTCATTCCAGGACGAAGCACATACAATTACGGTATCATTTTATCTGGTTTCTTCTAGAAGATGGGATTTTGAAGCTTGAAAAGATTAGTGGAGCTCAAAATCCAGCAGACATGTTGTCAAAGACGGTAACCACGGGCAAAATGAAGTTGTGTTCAGCTTCAGTTGGCATGCTAGAGTAACAAGACCAGAAATACTGCTGCATTGATCGAGGTGTGAAGACAGATTAAAATCAGTCTTCAAGTGGGAGATTGTAAAGTCGAGGGGGCACCGCCTAATGCACAAACAAATTCAGCCAACAATTGTTGAAATTGTTGATGATTAAATGCATTTAATCAGTGGGCAATTTGGAAGAAGATCCATTCGGTGCAATTGTCAAAAATTGGGTGCAGAAAATGTTGATTTTTGGAAATGGTTAAATCACACATTTAGCCATTGTATTTTAGGGTAATTACAAGATTAGTCCCTAAGTTTCAACTATAAATACCCTAGCCCATTTAGCTTTAAAATCATCCCAAAATCTTCCAGTTCTCTCTCAAGTGTGTTTTGTAAACACCTGTAATTTTTTCTCTCTCAAGTGTGTTTTGTAAACACCTGTAATTTTTTCTCTTTAGTAAAAGATCTGCTGCAGTCCGGAGACGTAAGCAC